TTGAGAGGTTCAGAAGGTTTCCGCTCAACAGGACAACGGTCGACCTGACAACGTCGAAAAGTATCAAAAAAAAGAAACTACCTGCAGGACAGGGCTCTGGCGCAGTTGACAAGGACTGCACTTACGCGTCGGCACGTGTGTGCAAAAAAAGGCTGACATCGGCCATTGTCGATCCGCAGCAAACGGCAGCGCCTCAACAGTCCTGACAATTGGCCATGGGCCCCTAGTAGGATGCTCGGCGTTAATTCCAGTTCCAGCCACTGCTCGAAAAGGCCTCCTGGGAACCATACGATTCCCACCAGTTGCGGCGCGACCATTCCGGACCTTCGTCTCGGCACTACAAGTACGACAACAGTCCTGAGAACAACAACAACAACAACTACTGCTACGGCTACTGCTACTGCTACTGCTACTGCTACTGCTACTGCTACTGCTACTGCTACTGCTACTGCTACTGCTACTGCTACTGCTGCTGCTACTGCTACTGCTACTGCTACTGCTACTCCTACTGCTACTCCTACTACTACTACTACTACTACTACTACTATTACTACAACTACTACTACATGTGTTGGAAATGGAGGGCCGCGCTTTGTGACCAAAATCTTGCAAATCTTGCCGAGGGAGCACATATTGCAAATGTTGCACCACTTACACCGCTTGCTTGCGCCAATTGCAATACTTGCACCACTTTGAGCAGGGCAATATTAGCAAGATCGCCCATTCCCACCCCGCTCAGGTGGTGCAAGTGGTGCAAGTTCACGTGGTGCAAGTGGTTTTTGGGCAAGCTTGGTGTCAATCTTGCACGCTTTCGCAAAAGCAATATTGCAAGATTGACGGTACGATCTTAATCGAACATCGGATTTCTTTTCCCGACACACTGTATGACTACTACTACTGCTACTACTACTACTACTATTACTACGACGACGACTACTATTACTACTACTACTACTACTACTACTACTACTACTACTACTACTACTACTACTACTACTACCCCTGCTGCTGCTACTGCTACTACTACCACTACTACTACTACTACTACTACTACTACTACTACTACTACTACTACTACTACTACTGCTACTGCTACTGCTATACTGCATTGCATACGACTAGTACTAGTAGTACGACCCGTGCACGACCAGTTGTAGACAAGTAGTTCCCGCGCCTACAAATCGCGTATTTTGTGGTGGTTTCCTTCCTGCAGGAATTGGTGGTCGATCCGGGCCGTTGACAAAACGATGGCATGAGCGGGTTTTGACAAGCAGGGCGCAGGGTGCACTGCCTTCGGCCAAGTGCGTAAAACTTGAATGCTGCTTTGCTGCGCTCATTCACCTTCGGACTGAAGCAGACAGGATTTTGCCGTCCCGTGAAAGCTGGGTTCGGACGGTTTTCCCTCGGCCGGGCAATGCCTGCAAGCTCCCACGATAATTATGAGGGCAGACATCAGGCGGGTTCATGAATTGAGTTGACAGCCCTTGGATCCAGCCGCATCAGCCCTGTTGTCCATGGGGTTTTGTCAGTTTTCCTTGTTGGCACATCAACACACAGCAGAACGCGTGCCTGCTAGTGCTTCGCTTTCGTTCTCCGGCTTGGCAAGAGTTTTCGGGATCGGCTGCTTTCCGCATTCACCCTGCTGATCTCCTCGACCATGGCTTGGTCGTCGTGTCATGAGTGAGCAGAGACTGAGGGCTGGATAGGCCATTGCTCGCAATAGTGCATTGCAGCAATTGAAATATATTGATTGTAACAGCTGCGAGTCACCGCAGGATGCGTTGCATGTGGCGCATGCCAAGCCTTTGAGCGGGTGTGTAACAGCCATGCTGCACTATGCTGCACTCAAAGCTCTCGTGCGAAGGAGGGCCTCCTTGATTTGCGGAACCTTGTCTCTCTCGAGAGGTCTGAGCATCCGCGAGTAGCTGAGTAGCAGGTGTCGCTCTCACTGGTCGCTCTGTTCTGCTTGCGGGCCTGCACGACTGATCTGTCACTCGACGCGCTGGGAGCACCGTTCCATTTCCGGTCCAGCGATAGAAGGTTTGTGTGCCAAGATGCTGCGAAGCTGATCACACCCAACCGTCGGCCTCTCCATGCAGCGTTCCGCTGCCCAGTTGGTCTCATTGGCCTGCAGGTGCTGCATGCAGCGCATGGAGCGCGTGCAGCGCAGACCGTCGCCGCTGATATATTCTGGACGTTGCGGTGGCTTTGCGCGTCTCTGCGTTGAGGCGTTGCAATCCCAAGCCCTTGGAGCCAGCGGCCGGAATGTCGCAATCGCACCTGCTACTCAGTCGCTTGGCGTTGAAGCTGCATGTCCTTCATTTTGCATCTTGGGCGGACTCCAGTTGGACCGGTATCCACAGATGCGACGGCCCTCCGTCAGCTCGTCTGTGATGTTTTCAGACTCACACGCACTGCAGCTGGTAGCTGCTGCAGACTGCGGGTGTGTAGCCAGCCCGGTCAAGCTTGACATAGCAAACGGCCGGGCATTCCATTTCGTGATCCTTCGAAGTTTTGTGGAGATCGCAGGAGGCACCAAGGAAATCTTTTAAGAGCTTTGTTGTGGAAAAGTGTGGCGGAGGCGAGGGCTTTCGCGCGCACCTTGCATCTGCCTCCGTGCAAAGCTGAAGGCTGATCTGCAGCCGCCACGTGTAGGGGGTTCTACACAAGGTCAGTGCACACAAGTTTTCCGCAGTCTGAAGCTGGCCGCGCCTGCAACAGTGCCGTTTTCAAGTGCCGAGCTTTGACAGATGGGAGCCTGTAGCAGCTCGTATCTGCACGGCCAGTCGGGATGCACCAGAGCCGTTCAGCAAGTGTCACAGCGCAGATGCCGCCTCTGCCTTGCCCCTCACCAGCATTTCGGCGTATGAGTGCTTCCCGCACCGGGACTGTTCAATCACTCGGCGACATCACTGCATCTCGGACTGCCTGACCATCTTATCTCGGGAGCACTGCGAGGAATTGATATCGCTCGGCGGAGGGCCCACCGAGTCTGCGCAAGGTCCGCATGCATATGTTTTCCGCATCCTACAGCTTGCTGCGTCTGCGTCAGTGCCATTTTCATGTACCGAGCTTTGACAGATGTGAGCTTGCAGCACCATGTGGCCACATGGCCAGTGGCGTTTCACGAGAATCGCTCGGTCCGTGGCAAAGTCCGATGCAGATACGTTTCCTTCGGTACCAGGGATCTGCTGGCTCAAGGCCATATTTGCTCTAACAGCCATGCTGCGCTCAAAGCTCTCGTGCGAAGGAGGGCCTCCTTGATTTGCGGAATCTTGTCTCTCTCTCGAGAGGTCTGAGCATCCGCGAGTAGCAGGTGTCGCTCTCACTGGTCGCTCTGTTCTGCTTGCGGGCCTGCACGACTGATCTGTCACTCGACGCGCTGGGAGCACCGTTCCATTTCCGGTCCAGCGATGGAAGGTTTGTGTGCCAAGATGCTGCGAAGCTGATCACACCCAACCGTCGGCCTCTCCATGCAGCGTTCCGCTGCCCAGTTGGTCTCATTGGCCTGCAGGTGCTGCATGCAGCGCATGGAGCACGTGCAGCGCAGACCGTCGCCGCTGATATATTCTGGACGTTGCGGTGGCTTTGCGCGTCTCTGCGTTGAGGCGTTGCAATCCCAAGCCCTTGGAGCCAGCGGCCGGAATGTCGCAATCGCACCTGCTACTCAGTCGCTTGGCGTTGAAGCTGCATGTCCTGCATTTTGCATCTTGGGCGGACTCCAGTTGGACCGGTATCCACAGATGCGACGGCCCTCCGTCAGCTCGTCTGTGATGTTTTCAGACTCACACGCACTGCAGCTGGTAGCTGCTGCAGACTGCGGGTGTGTAGCCAGCCCGGTCAAGCTTGACATAGCAAACGGCCGGGCATTCCATTTCGTGATCCTTCGAAGTTTTTGTGGAGATCGCAGGAGGCACCAAGGAAATCTTTTAAGAGCTTTGTTGTGAAAAGTGTGGCGGAGGCGAGGGCTGTGGCGCCCACCAAACATCTGCCTCCGTGCAAAGCTGAAGGCTGATCTGCAGCCGCCACGTGTAGGGGGTTCTACACAAGGTCAGTGCACACAAGTTTTCCGCAGTCTGAAGCTGGCCGCGCCTGCAACAGTGCCGTTTTCAAGTGCCGAGCTTTGACAGATGGGAGCCTGTAGCAGCTCGTATCTGCACGGCCAGTCGGGATGCACCAGAGCCGTTCAGCAAGTGTCACAGCGCAGATGCCGCCTCTGCCTTGCCATGCATGCGCTTGCTGTCTTGAGGCTGCCGTTCCCCTCACATGGCTGTCCCTCACCAGCTTTCCTGCGTATGAGTGCTTCCAGCACCGAGACCGTTCAACCACTCGGCGACAGAGCTGCATCGGGTACTGCTTAACCGGCTTAACCATCTTAACTCGGGAGAACTGCATTGAGATGTCTCCATGCAAGGCTGATTCTGCGCAAGGTTCGCATGCATGTGTTTTTTACATCCTGTAGCTGGCAGCGCCTGCAACAGTGCCATTGCCAAGTGCCGAGCTTTGACAGATGTGAGCCTGTAGCAGCTCGTATCTGCACGGCCGGTCGGGATCCACCAGAACCGTCGAGCAATTGTGATGAGCCGCCGCAGCCACAGCTGCCTGCCGCGCCATGAATGCGGTTGCTGTCTTGAGGTTGCTGTTCCCATCACATGGCTGTCCCTCACCAGCATTTCTGCGTATCCGTGCTTCCCGCACCGAGACTGTTCAATGTCTGGATGACAAAGTTGCATCTGGATTTCTGTTCGTTGGAGTTCTCACCTGCGCCGCAAGCAGCATGCCGCGCGCAGGCGGCCAGGACATGATCCGTGGATGACGGATGGCTGCCCAGCTGTTTGAAGCAATTCTTTTCGCAAGGCTGTCAGCTCACGGTGAGTGTGGCAGGCGGGACAGACATCGGCCATCAGATGTTCGAGGAGGTCGTCAGCATCTCACGGAGGCTGCCAACTGCTCAGCTTGGCCGGCGCCGAGACTTCGACGCGTTGGGTTTGTTTTGCTCTTCAACCTGTTTGCATTCTACATGTTCCATTGCAGCAAGGGCAAAGTGAACATTGCCAGTTAAAGACGCCATCGGCCACAAAGCACAAGATGGCTTGCTTCCATCTTGCAGCTTTCGGTGTGCATGTGGACGGCGCAGTGCATGCTGACGCGAGCTGGACCGCAGCAGCGGTGCTTTTCATTGTGCCGGGGACATTCTTCGATTTGCAAGTTCGTGGTGTTGCATGCCATGCACGCCAAAGGACCTTGCTCGCGTGCGCAGTTGGATTGTGTGATGTTGACTTGCTGTCCTGTAGGCGTGCAGTGCGCGGCACCAAGAAAAGTTGGGCATGTGCGGTTTGTGCGTTGTCGGATTGGACAGTGAATCCTATCATCGTGGAAGACCTTGCATGGATGGCAGCTGGGCTTTGCTCGGCACCGATGGCCTGCGGCCGGCGCAGGAAATCCATGAGCTGTTTGTACAGTTCAGGGTGGAGACTTCCAGAACAACCTTTCTCTAATCGGTTCGGCCTGTGGACAGCGACGAGCGCAACCTGTTCTGTTTGCCTTCTGCATGTTTCCATTGCCGCTACGTCTTGCAACGTAAACATTGCCAGACGATGATGCCATCGGCCAGGAAGCACAAGATGTCTTGCTTACAAGAGAGGCACCAAGCATCTGCCTCCATGCAAAGCTGAACGCTGATCTGCAGCCGCCACATGTAGGGGGTTCTACACAAGGCCAGGGCACACAAGTATTCCGCATCCTGCAGCTAGCCGTGCCTGCAACGGTGCCTTTTTCAAGTGCCGAGCTTTGACAGATATGTGAGCCTGTAGCGGCTCGTACCTGCGCGGCCAGTCGGGATGCACCAGAACCTTTCAGCAAACTCAAAAGTGCAAAGCCGATGCAGGCGCTGCCGTGCCAAGAATACTCTCTTAAGGTTGCCGTTCCCGTCTGATGTTTGTCCCTCACTGGCACTCGTGCTCATCCGGGCCTTCCGCAGCGAGACTGTCCAATCTCTCCATGACAACGAAGCATATTGACTGGTCAAGATGCCACGCTGCAAGAAATGCAAATGGTTGGCACATGCGGCGGGTGGCCGTCGCGCCCACCAAGTGCCGCTGCCAGGTTCAGTGGGAGGAAGCCAGCACACGTCTCTGGCTCAGAGATGTCTTGATTACATGTTGCGGCGCAGTAAATGCTGACGTGAGCTGGTCCCGTGGGCGTGCAGTTCACAGCACGGTAACTAGTCGGTCCTGTGCAGTTTGTGCTTTGTCGCATTTGTCAGAGGATCCCACCCTCGTGGCAGACCTTGCGTAGCGACAGGAGCCTTCGACTTGCTGCAGAACCGCTTCCCCTGAAGTGGCGCCCAGACTCTGCCCGGACCGGGACCCTGCGGCTACGTTTTGCGACAGCCCGTGCGTGTCGATGCACCGCCGAAGAGCCGAGGAAAGCTAGAAGCTTGAATGCCGAAGTTCTGCTCCCCTGTTTTAGCTGCTTCTCTGCACAGCCGGCTCATACGCTTTTTCCAGGAAGCTTCCTGTGTGAACGCCCTGGCTTGAGGTCGCCCTTCCCGTCGCAGTCCGTCGCAAGCATTCCTGCTCATCGGTGTCTCCGGCCGCAACACTGTTCCATCACTCATAGGAGGCCAAGAGTTGGTTTAGCCGATGGGGGTTTAGTAGGGATTAGGGTTCCCACAATAGGGTTCATATTAAGGAATCCCTACCCCAAGAATCTTAAACCCCCCTTTTGGCCTCCCATCAATCACTCGATTGGCGCAGTGGTCTCAGGAACCGTCACACCAAACTCAGGTGGCAGAGCATTTCAAAACCATCAGGCAACTCTCGGGAACCATCAGAGCAGTCCCGGGAACCCTTCTCAGAAAAAGCATCAACCAGTCGGGAACTGTTCCGAAAAGTTAGACGTGTTCCGAAGCTCTTGTCATGGAGTATTGACAGACACACACACACACACACACACAGCACCAAGCATTTCAATCAGCCAATGTGGCAAAGTTGCATCTCTAGTCGCTCATGCATGCATGCAGTATAATTGGAAGGTGCGCTCCCTCGAACTCTTGCCAATGTCGCTTCGAAGTGAAGTAGCCGCAGTAGCTGGCATGGCAGACGCAGATGCGTCTCTTGCAGCAGTCCCTGCGCTCTCCACGGCAAGGGTCCCAAGCATCGGCATTTCCAAGGTGTTTGCTCCGTGTCAGGCCCGAGTTCCGGCGCTGGGGGGGCCCCGGAGCCTGGTTGGGCCCAGACGAGCTCTCAAGTCCCCGAAAGACTCTCCCAAGGAAGGAATCTCTTTCTGCGTCGCTTCCTGCTGCTGCACTGTGGCCTCGTATGGGTCAGCCGGTGCGGTTGGTGCCGAGATGGAGCTTCGCGCGCAGGCGGGATGCCACAACGAAGGGCCCTGACAGTCAGAACAGGGTCCAGCGGTTTTTGCTTCGGCGTACAAGGCTTTTTATGACAGTTCACACTGGTTATATTAGGCCCACAAGGGAAGACTTTTTGCTCATTCTTCAGCATTGACCCGGCGGTTACCAGCCTCCTCAGCTCAGCCCCAATATCCAGAGCTCTCAAACTCGAGACCCGTCTCTGAGGTGCCCCGAACCTCCCAACATGCTCAAAACCCCTTGCAGGCCCCAAAAGCCCAAACCCATAAGCGATAAAGTTTAAGAAAGGCTGAAAGACCCCACCTTCTCCACAGGCCTGGGACATCCAAGCATGATCAGAGAGCGGCACGCGGTTCAAGGAGTGCAAGGGGACCTCAATACTTCTGTAAGGTTTGTATAGGGTGTACGTAAAGGAACTATACGAGTTAAACTGAGTTTTATAATTGGTTCAAGCAAATTTTATGGAGCTTCAAACGGGTTGCATAAGGGTTTATAAGACTCTTCGAACGGGCTTAGCAGATAAAATACGTTGGGCGAGTGTGTTTTGCCCGATGATTCAAACGCTGACATAGCGATTTCAGGTTTGGGGCTTCGAGAAAGGGCTTTTCAACGGCTTTACGAAGAGTTGTTGATTTGTTTTTTGGTTGAGGGTCTTCAAGGCTTAGATGAGGGTTTGACAGTTTCTGGTGCTTTTGAGCATCAGGTTGCTCTTGGGGCTTTTGGTTGAGGCAGGGCAGATCTCTTCAGTCGACTGTGGCTTGCTTGTCTGGCCTTCTCTCTTCGGCTTTGGGCTAGGTGGGAAGGAAAGTTGAATAGCTCCCAAGACTCGGGGGGCTTTGTCTAGGAACGACACAACGCGGCCGGCACGATTCGGACAGGCTTGTGCCGTAGGGTATCTCGAAGACGAGGAGGGTTGGGGCAAGTACTACACACCATTTGCCAGCGACTGGCGATTCAATCGAGCCGCTTATATCGTGATATGCGGAGTAAGAGACAGTCGGATATTTACCTGATATTAAGACTTGGATCTCTAAGTTGCCCTCAGGCTTGGAATGGCGAAGGGTGGTCGCCTCGCCGTGCCTGCGGGCAGAGGTTCTAGGACGGCAATTCTGCGCGCAAGAAAAGGACATCGGAGCCGTAATCTGTAACTATCTCTAGTCACCAGAAAGCCGCATAGCCCAGGAAGTGCGGAAAGCATCCTAGTGATTACGGCCAGCTCTACATCTACAGACGACAGACGACAGAGCACCGCGGCCCTTTGTGCCCAAAACTAACATAACAGCGTAGCTTACTAACTATTGCCCCCAAAGAAACGATTTCCAGCATTCTAGCCAAAAGAGAGATGTACAGTGTCATGCTTTTGTCCCGACTAGGGTCGTCGAGCCGACGCGTGTCTACTTCCAGATACGAACCTAGGCTAGCTCTAGGGTGCCCTTCTGAGCAAGAATAAACCATCTCACGCGGCTTCAGCTTTGGCTTGTTCTGAGAGGGGGAGGAGGAGCGTGTGAATTTCTTGGGCAGTTTCGAGGCAGGCTGGCATAGTCAGAAGGCGACATGAGACATTAGCCGGTTGTGTGGACGAAATCTTGCACCGCCGAGATAAGGGACATTTCTGCAGAGCCCCGCTCGGCGTCGAAGGCTTCCCAGAGCCGAGGTTGCAACGGGGATTTCTGGGTTTTGACCGGATGCAATGTTCAACCGTGGTGTCGCTAACCGCTGAGCAGTCCTCTGGCACTAATTGCTTCAGTTGGGTTTAGGGTTTCGGGGTTAGGGGTTTAGTTGTTGTATGGTGCTAGGGCGACTCAAGCAGACACATCGCTTGCATAGTCCTCATAAGCCCTCAGCCTTGTCTAACCCTAAGCCCTGAACCCCAGCATTGAATACCGCGGGACTCTTCACTGCAGTTTTGCTCAAAAGTGCCAGAGTAGGGATCCCAAGAAACCGGCACCTGGGAGTCTTGACGTCAAGTTTGCGGGGCATACGCTTCTTCTCCACGGATCCGGCGCCTGGGATGTTGAGTATTAATTTTGCGGCTGTAGGGTTTCGGGCTTCGGGCTTAGGGTTTAGGTTTAAGGAAGGAGTCATGGTTCAGGGTATCCAGTGCCTTCGACGTTCAGCTGTTGAGGTGTCCTATGGTTGATGATATAAATCCTGCATTACCCATAATAAGGAATATACCATAGTTCCCATAGTTTAGGGTCCTTAAGGTGATGCAGATTTAAATCATCAACCGTGTCAGGGACAGGCTTTCCGATTTGCATGTTTTGTAAGAGTTGATTGTTTGGTCGGGCCCTTCTTTAAGTTTCCCGGAGTGAAAGCCGCGAAGTCCCCCTGGAAATGCAGCTCCCCAGACCTCTTTGTGTGCGTAATCCGACGGCCCAAGCCCTGAACCTTCACTCATGTTGGGCAGCGGTGTGTGTGTGGGTGTGCCTTTCACACCCCACAGCCTGTGTACGCTGAACCCTAGAGAGTCGAGGTGATCTCTGCTGGGTGGTGGCTGCGACTGGGATTATCAGACATGTGATTCGATGGTTTGGGCTTGGTTTTGTTGTTGGAGCGGTTCAAGAGGTGTGGAGGTGGATTTTGTAGGGAATGAGGTTTAGCGAGGGCTTAGGGTGTACTGGAGGGGCTCAGGCTTGTTATGAGTTTTAGGGGTGTGGGCCCAAGTTCGGTGATAAGAATTTTTGCTTACCCTGCAGAAATGTCAGCCCCTCGGATTCCCATGGGCCCGAAAACCATTCAAACCTTACTCTAAAACCCTAAACCCGATAAACTATAAACCCCTGTAAGTGCTGTAAACACTATAAGCCCTAGATGCCCTGTAAACCCTACAAGCCCTATAAGTATAAGCCATACAATCCCTAAACATCTCCAAGACCTTATGGGAAAAAGTGTTTACGGCTCCTTTTAAGGTCAAAAGGCTCGAGCTGGTTTGGGCATCAGGCAAGGAGGTCGGCGGAAAGCTTCGGATTTTTGGGCTAAGGGCTAGGGCTTATAAAGATGTCTTAACCCTCCTGCAGACTAGCCACCTGACACAGGCTGCGAGAGTTCAAGCCTCAAGCCCGACACCCGGGTTCAACCTCGTCGGGCTTCTCAAAACATACACTGAAGCCCTGAGCCCCAAGACGACCCCAGACCTTTCCAACAGCTGCAAGCAAAAGTTCTGCAAGCCCCGAACCCTAACCCCCGGTCCGGTTGAAGATCCCTTCTTCTGCGTTCGAGCCTTGAAATCACAGAGCCCAAACATTAAACCCCAAACCCAGGCCGGGGTGTGCACCGGGACTCGAGGGGCTCGAGTCTAGGATTGGCAAAGTGCTGACGATGGTCCCGACTAAGGAACTCCAAGCCTCACTTAATCTTAGGGCTACTTAGAAATGTTTTTTAATTTTGGTTATTATAACCTCTAAGAAACAGCTAAAATTCACTTAATGTCATGTGGGGGGTTGTCAAAACTATGGCCCCTTTTGGGGTACCCTAAATATTAGGTGCCGTCTTATATTCAGGACCCAAAAAGGGATCTTAATTTTGACAACCACCCATGTACCAATATGGGTAGTCCTCGAAATTAGGGCGCTTTGCAAGTCCCCAAAACAGCACGGTAGTGGTAATTACTCTTGTGCGAAATATGGTGACAGGATTCGAGTATATATATATATATATATTGCTATATGTAGAAAATATGCATATGTATATAAGTATAGCACAGCGTAGTCTAGTTTAGAACTGTGCCCAGGTGTGGCACTCCAGGCACCTGGGACGAGCACTGCATCTCCAAGGTGGCTCTGCTTGCATCCAACCCCTCAAAGCCAAGGCAGAAGCAGATCGTATAGTGTAGTTCATCTTGGCATGGTGTAGTATATCTATAATCTACAGTGTGCGTCCGTGTGTTATTCGTGTTTAATTCACTGTCACAGTATACGATAGTATTTCATGTTGTAAAACAGTATGCTGTTTTTTGTATATGTAGTATATAGATAGACGCAGATTATCCGTAGAAAAAGTAGCAGGGCGTCAGGCCAAGTCATTTGATTCATGGTGCTGCTGTCTGGAGAATGTTTTTAGGAGTACGAGGCGACACCCTGAAGCCTAAACCCTGCACCCGAAGCTCGAAGCCCAAACCCTAAGCCCTACACCCATATTCTGTGAAGCCCAGACCCCAAACATGGTCGACTCCCTTGTGGGAACCCTGAAATTATATTCTTAATACGGCACCCTATAGTTTGGAAACCCAAAAGAACACTCATTTGGACAACCACCCGCATGTAAAACGAAACTCTGGACCGTGAGCTAGGACCCTTGGCCTTGCACCAATATTCCCTTCGCCTGTCCAGAACGAGACTTGTCCGGTGAGTTGCTCGGAGCAGTACTGCTGGGTGGCCGCCCGCCAGCAAGCCGTTTCGGTGGTCGGGTTTAGGGCGGGGATGAGCCCTGAACCCCAAAGCCTAAACCGAAGTCCTAAACCCTAAACTCCTAAACCCTAACTAAACCGGTTCATGGTTTAGGGCTTTCGGGCATTTGAGAGCCGGCGGGCTCACGCTCTCTTTTAGTACACGTGAGTGCTCTGTGCAACAGCTTTATACCAAGGAAGATTCATTTCCTAGTCTTAACCGTCCCGGCTCCCATAAGAACCTCCAGACCCGGGGAGCAAGGACAACTACGACAGCGCCGGCATGTGGCTTGACAGCTCCGAATCTTGCTCCTCTTTTGCAAGGAGGTGTACTACAGGGGGGTCTGAACTACGTCGACCCATGAGCCCGCCATTCGTTAAGAAGCAGCTTAGAGAGTCCCGTGGCAGCTAATATACGGATACTTAGAATAGGGTTTTGTGGTATATGACATTATACTTACAATAAAGAACCTTCAAAATACTATTGGTAAGTTGCCTCAATCGCATTTTCTCATCCAATCTCGGTCTTACACACGGACTTAGGGTTTACATGACACGGTCCAAAATGTGGGCTTGGGTGAAGGTCTTTACAGTGGAGGGCTCTGTAGATTTGGCCAAGGATTGTCTTGAAAGGTGGGGGTCTTCTGTTAAGGGCTCTTATCCAAGCCTTCGACCCCTACACGTATGCAATCGATGTGGTCCGGCGTTGACCTCGAATTGCAAAGAGGCCATGTTGCGGCCATGTTGTGCGGCCTACATCTGTCGGGCTTTCGTAGGAAGCTTCATCATTCTGACTGACATCACACGGGTCCGGAATGCTCGGATCCCTTCTACCAGCTGCCAGTGTCCATACAGCCCCAAACGGCTTTTGTGCTCCAGCAGGTTCGTACAGCTTGCTACGATGGAAACGCAGTGTGCGATGAACCCTACGAGGGTTCACGGTTCTGT